TTACTTAAGAATACATTTCCTAATGTAACTAAAAGGATTATAAATATATTACCTAAATACTTTAATTATCCCTAATGAAAAGTAACAAAATGATTTAAGATATTTTCATATTGCCTCTTGATTGGTGTCTTCTTTGATTGGTTTACTTTGCTTTACTTTTATCTGAAGATCTTTGACTGTGTGATTAATCCTTACTTCTCTTATCTGGCACTGTCCAGCAATATAAATTAATATCTTAATATTTATATGAATTGTATTTTATTTGGAATGAAAACATATTTATTGTCCTGCATTTCTTGGATCCAGAAACAGTTATTTGTGCCTAGAGTTTGTCATTTGTATTCACGTAGCACTTAAGCATTAAAAGTTTGATTGTGATAGATGGTTGCAACAAGTCCTCACTCACATTTATTGCTCCAATCTGCGTTGAGCTGTTAAAAAGTTGGCAGACTTTATGAAAACAGACTTTTATGATAAATTATCTAAACAAATATTACAAGTAAAATTTTGACAGCTGGTTCACTGAAGTAAAAATAATTTAGGAAGCAGTTCTACCAAACTGATTCAAACCAGCTGAATCCCATCATTGTATGTGTGTATATATGTGTATATATATATAATGAAAAATTAAAATTTATTATTAAACCTTTGTATTTGTGAATTTAATACAATTATTGATTTTGTATTTTAAATATATTTGATAATTAAACATAGTCATGGAAAAGTTTGGTTTCTAAGAAGTATACTTATTTTACTTTTTTAAATTGTGTAAAAGAAAAATATATTTTAACTTAAGTAGACTAAATAAAAAACAAGTTTAAATGAAATCATATGAATTAGTTAAAATGGCAAAAATATATTAATCATTAAAAGATTGTCATGTATTTTTCTCATATAATTGAAAATATCTATGAAATCTAAACTTAATTTCCTATATAATTCAAGTTTTTATGATGATAATTCATTTACATTCAGTTTAAAATTACAAAAAATTTATCATATCTTAAAATCTTTTTAGGTACAGTAATACCTCGTCTTACGCGAACCCGGAGTTACACGATTTTCAAATCTCGTCAATTTGTCTTTTGTTTGAATGCCACTCAACCATTGATTACTCACTCCCCCCACACTATTGTCCAGCTTACATGTTCGGATGTGTCGCGCGGAATCGACACATAGCTACAATTTATTTTCTGTTATTTATTTCTGTGTTTGTTATGTCTACAGAGACTTGAGAGACTCTACTATGTCATCCAAACGAAGTAGAACTAATTCTTCTGCATCAAACAAGAAAAGAAAAACTTTATCTTTGGAATGTAAAGTTAACATTGGGTTCATTCGTAAAGTCGAACGAGTTAAACGAGAATGACGTCATCATTATTTCTATTTCGTTAGACTTTTTGAACGATTCGTTACTAACACGTTTAACTTGTTTGACTTTACGAACGTACCCATTATTAAAGACTCTGATACAAAAATGAAAATTTGTGAATTGGCAAAGAAGTTTGATCTACTGGAATTGTCGGTCAGAACAATTATAAAAGGCAAAGAAAAAATTCTCGAAGCTGTGAAAAATGCTCAATCTTTAAATTCAAGAATCATTCGTAAAAGTCACAGTATTATCGCTGAGATGAAACAATGTTAAAATTATGGCGTAATAATCAAGTAAATGTGGAAAATTGTAAAATAATGTAGGCCTAATCTGTTATACATATGTATTATCTAAGATTTTATTAAACATTTTTTTCTAAATTATTGTTTTCTTTAGTCTCCAGCCCCAATTAAAAATTATTTGTATGTATTTATATGTGAAATTATACCCAACTTACGCGAATTCGACTTACGCAGTTACCGCTCGGTCCCACCTATCACGTAAGTTTGGGGTATTACTGTATAATAATTTCTTTTATTTCAAAAGATTGTAAATACTGTTGCTTTTGTTTCCGATATATTATTTTATTCTTTTACCAATTTTTTTTTACTTTAAAAAGTGATATACAGTATTTAATAATCATGGGTAAAATAAAATAAATCAACATATGCTAGTGTAGTAAAGATATCATTACAAATAATATATTTTACTCTAGATATAGTGATGACTGTATAATATGAAATGATTAATTAAGCATTGAAAAATAAAGAAAATTAGATTGAAAATTTGTCATTATGAAAATAATTTACATATCTTGATGAAAATTTTTCTTTAAGTTTTTTAGCTGTATTTATTTATGACACAAACTTTTTACAGTAAATCCTACTTATTTTAATTACTAAGAAGTGGATATTTACATGTGTGCAAGTTTTTCTCCTTAAATGCTATGATGTCAAAATCTCAATAGAAACATGATTTGGATGCAAGTAGATCAAATTAAGTTTATCCAATAATGCATAATTTATATGTGTTTTTAAAAATGCATATACAATAAAATATGCATTTATGATTTTTACTGCATATTTTGCAGATTTGACCATTTTCAGGACTAAATAACTGACTTTATAAGAATTTACAAATTTTATAGTTTGTTTGCATGATTGCAAGTGCTATTTTTCAAATGAACTGTAGTCCATTTCTATTATCTCTGTAATGAATCATTTTTGCACAGTTACAGTTTATCAAGTGAGATATACCACTCAGCCATTCAATTAAAGATGAGTGTGCAAAATTCAAAATACAGTGGATGATCGGTTAACGAACATAATCCGTTTCAAGACTTTGTTCGCTATCCGAATTGTTCGTTAACCGATTAAATTCCCATTATAACCCATAGGTTTTAATGGGAATTTAATTAATTTGTTCTGGAGACCCCCAAAAATAAAAAAATATATACTTTCTTACTACGTTTATTTATATGTAATAATAAAAATACATACATAGTCTTGCATTTTTATTAGTCATGCTTTTTCCGTTTGAAAGGGTTAAACAATCTGTCTAATGTCGATTGCTTTTCTCTTTTCATCAGGATTTTTCATAAGTAATTAATAGGATTGCAATTGTAGAAATCCCCAAGCCTCAAACCGGTTTGGATGCCATTCTAAGACCGTTGTTCTGACATCCTCTCACTTCTTCAAAGGATCTTTAATAACAGATATCGGCATTAATCCTCTTTTTCAGAAGAAAACATATCTCGCCGAGTTTCTTGGTGTTCTTCATTAAGAGTTCTTGGCGTTCTTCTGTCGTCAGATCCATTTCAGGTTCCATTAAGAACTTTTTGATGATCTTTATTTCTCAGATGTGATTTTTGTTACTCCTTTAGCTGTTTGAGTCTTCTTGATTATACAGTATTTTTCTTAAATAAGATTGAACTGTGGCCTACTGTAGACCTGTTCACACCATATTGCCCAGCAACATTAGGCATCTTCTGCCTACTCTCTACCTTTGCTATTATACTCTCACCTTTCAAAAAGAAAAACAGATGCAAAACTTAACAAGTGCCTACCTGACAGTCTTGCGAATACATATAAGAATTGTTTTGTCAGAAAAATAAAAGACTGGAATTACAAGGGAGAGTTTCAACGTTCAGAGGAATACTATCTGATCAGTATATACCGGCTTGACATTGATGTCAACGTCTCCCGCACTCCGAAAAGTTTCGAATTGTTGCCCGAAGACAAGGGAAAACCAATCAGTATTCATTATTTTACGTTGCTTCTTCTTGTGTTTGTTCTGTGGGGGTGTTCATTATCCGATCATGTGTTCGTTGTCCGAACATAAAAATCTTTTGCGAAAGTGTTCATTATCCGATCTGTTCGTTAACCGATCACCCACTGTATTTTAAATCTAAGTGTCTAACTCACATTCTTTTAACCCAGTCATCCTCAAATATCTTGTAAACAATTGTATATATAGAAATAAATTCAATAATGATTAATTAGATAGTACAGGAAATCAAAATTTTATTGAATATGTAATTTATTTATAATTTACCTGATTTGTGTACTTCCTACATGAAACATTATTCTAATATGTATTTTGTCATGTTAAAATAATGTTTAATTAGACAGTGTATGTCATAATTTTCAAATCTTTTATGTCAGTTATTGTTGCATGTTTACTCCCTCCAACTTAAATAGTGGATATAATAGACATTAGTAAGATTTGTTTGCAAATAGAAGTAAAGTAGTATTAAAATCTACAAATTTTAGTGTATATTACTGGTGCTTTTATCAAGCGTAATATATATTTCAGGCATTTTAATGTACTGTACATATAACAGTGAATATATCTGGAATTTGTACAGTACATGCATATGTATGCACATATGTCATGCACATATATAGCATATAAATCCAGTCATTAGTAATTATTGATAATATGCAATTATTAGCGAGGGTGAGGCCAAAGTTTTAAATGCAAAAATGTGTACGTTGAATGTTCGGCGCCACTTTCCTGTAAGTCTAGAAGTTTGATAATGGTGTTTGGAATGTCGAGCATGATTCCACTGACTATCCAAACACCATTGTCAAACTTCTAGGCTTACAGGAAAGTGGCACTGAACCTGTGACATACACGTTTTCATGTTTAAAACTCTGGCCTCAACCTCGCTATTATCACTTATTGTTATTAATCTTTAACATGCTTAAAAGCAGTTAAATGTTAATTGTTTTAATTGTTACTTACTCCCAATACAATACCATAGTTTAAATTGTTGCCATCACATTAGCTGTTGTTAAAGTTGGTAGTGGACAAACAGTACTGGATAAATTATATATTAATAAAATTTCAGAATTTATTAATTTTTCAGAATTTCTTTAATTGTAGTTTTATTTACTTACTCTATTTAATGTTATTAGTTAGATATTGTTATCAGTTTAGGCAAGTTCCAAAATGATTACAATAAGTGGAAGCTACTGAATTTTATATTCCATAATATAAAAAAACTGATAAAATATATTTGAAAACTTTTAAAATTTATTTATAATTAATAAATATCAAATATTAATTATTTTAAACTAATGTAAAATATTTTAGTTTTAATATACAAATATTTAAAAATTATTAGGGTGGTTGATTAAATAAAGATAAAAAATGGAGACAAAAGTTAATGGTGTTGCTGATGAAGATGTGAAGGCAATTGACAAATTTGATCCAGAAGATCCAGAATGTCAGAGACAGATGTGGCGACCTGCTGATATTGAACAAGATATGAAGGAAATGATAAGACGTAAAAGAGTAGAAATGATTATGAATAGGTAATCATAAGTTTTTTGTTAATATTTCTATTGCTTTTAAATGCAGTTAGCTAAAGATTAGTTAATAAAATTATAAAAAAATTTTTATGTTTTAATTCTAAGTGCTTTTAGTTTACTAAACCATTAGTAATAAAGTTCTATATTTTAATCACTGAGATGAAATACTGAATAATTTATGCATGTGTTGTTTTTAAGTTACATTATATAATTTTTCGTAAAATATGTATAATAAGGTGGTCCTTATTCCAGGATCCAAAAACAAAAGTTATACATTGTATAGGGACACTTTCCTAACTTATCCTAATATTAGTAACAGTAGAGCCTCGAAAACTCGGCACTCGATAACCCGGCACTCCGGATAACTCGGCCACACCCTGGCAGGGCAAAAATATCCTTAGTTAATTAATTTTCATTATAGACAGCTTTATGCCTCGTAAAGTATTTTTCAGAGGTCTGTCTTATCAGGCAAATTACTGTACACAGTATATTCATTAATTTTCATTTTCATGTAGTAAAGGCTCTATGCCTTCATAAAGGACGTACTTTTCCTTTGTTTAAAGGTATTTGGGCAGTTTATTCTTTGTTGTATTCTCAAGGAAACAATACATACAAGTACAGTACAATATTTTCTGAGGAAACACACTTAAACATACTTATCCTTTTTTAACCCCATTCCCGATAACCCGGCATTTTCAGAAACTCGGCCACCCTTCGGTCCACATTAGGCCGAGTTTTCGAGGCTCTACTGTATTCCCAAAACTTGGCTAAATTTAGATCAAATTTAAAGACTACTACCAAAATTTGAAACATGAATTATTTTTTATTTTATGCAAAATTCAAGGTAATATGTTATTAAGCATTTAAAATTTACAGTTGGCAATTTCCATGCTACAGTATCACAGGACGAACATAATAACATATATCAATATTCACACAGTGGAATATTAATTGTTTTTGGCAAGTGTCTTCTTCCTAAAGTCTGGATAGTTCTTCTGGTGATCACTACAGAAAAAATTTGTTTTGTTGTTCAACCTGGGTGTTCAATCAACTGTATTCCTCAATTAGAGCAACTCTGCATTCTGCCATATTGTTAATGCATTTTATGGACCTGATGCACTTTTCTGTGGCAATGTAGTTCATGTCAGAAGGCCAGAGTTTGAGATCCAATTCTGAATTTTAAGTCAGGATTAAGTGTGTTGAAAAACCTCAGCATTAGCTGACCCAAAGTAGTCCAAATTTTTCTCCAAGATGCTGTTCTGATCAACTGTCACTCAGTTTTTGATGTTCTCATTACTTTTATTTGGAGAGCTTGAATCATTTTGGCTTTTCTATCTGGTATTCTTTTATCAAAGAAACCAAAAACAACCAACTCTTTGCTAAGGTACCACAGATGACCAGTAAGCTTCTTCAAAGCAGCATTTCTAACTGTGAAGTTTGTATTCTTGTACTATTAGATGTTCTTCAATGGAAGCATGTCATTTAAAGGTGCAGCAGATAGAAGTAGATCTTCAAACCATGCCTTTAAATAGCATTTCAAAACAAAATTTACAATGGTCTGTATCTCAGCTTCTTTTTTCCTTAATGGAAATTGTGTCTTGAACATCAATGTTTTGATTGCATAAATGGCTTTGAACAGCCAATGAGCCTTACACTTTGCACCAGGAGCAAGAAATCTAATTCTGCAATCAGGTTTACCTCCAAGAATGATTATGTAGATTTCCAGGAGTTATTTGTAATCATTACAAGGTTGCTGATGGTTTGGTCCATAGCAAAAATGATTATTTTGCCTTTAATGTTGGCAACAGCACTGGCAGTGTGATCAAGTGTGATTCTGTATTCAGCCTAATTCAATGATGCCAATGAGCTTGTAATTTCTTGAATATTAGTATTTCTGAGTTTGCTGATTGAGTTACAGTGATAGAGAAGACAGCCTTTTGTATCAGAGCACCTAATAGAATGAGGTAACAGTATTGTACTTCTACTGCCTGTACAATACTGTTACCTCATTCTATTAGGTCATTCTATTTATTAGCTCATTCTATTATTATGTAAGATTTCTGTTTCAATAGTGAGTGGTCTTATGCTTAGCATTGTGACATATTGTGATTTTTCATTTTATGATAGCAATCCCTAAACATTATTTCATAATTAATTAAATTTTATCAAAATTATTTTTTTAAATAATGAAACAGATTCAAACATCTCCCATCCAATTTTCTCAAAGTTAAAAATAAGGGTTACCTTAATGTATAAACAGTATAATTTTATTTTGTTTTACCTTTTTATTAATTTAGATGTTACTTAATTTTATAACAAAAATAGTTAAAATTCTATTTATTTCTTTAAAAAAAATGAGTAATCTAAATGTTTGTTTGCATATTTTTTAAATGCTAATGCAATGATATATTAAAATTTATGATATAATTAAAGTGATGTTAAATTATGAAAACCAATTAAATTAAAAAGTAAATAATAAAACAATTATTTCCCATAAAATTTTTATAATATAGTATTGTTACAACATATTGTTTTGATGATTTAGATGATTTTGCAGAATTTCAGTAAATAGTTTTGCAATCAAGGAAATTTTATTTTATATAGAAAAATTTATAAATATTGTTTTTTTTGTTTGAATTTGTTAAATATGAAGTTCTCCTTTATTATCTTGCTGATATAAAATTTACAAACCGTGGAAATTATTTCCACTATATCATTATTGATGTTATTGTAAAATTGTGATTACGTTATTAAATTTATAAACATATAATCAAAATATATTTGGGAAAAAATGATTAGTCACATAGGAAAACAAACAAATAACTGAAATTGAAATTATGAAAAGAATTAATATGCACCTTGTTTTATTATTTTTAGTAAACTATTAACTTTTATTGAAAGTAAGTTTTATCAGACATAATGCTATTATGATACAAAACAAATCTCTGATCACAAAATAACAAGTAACAGCTTCAAGCCATCAACCAATTTACCACTTTATATATAACAGAAATGTTTACATTTGACCATCTGTTAATAATTTTGACAATCAATTTATATTATCACTAGCAGACCCCGCCACACATTGTTGTGGCTCAAAATGTATCTATTATAAATGTATAACACTTCCCCCGTGGAGGGGAATTTTTCAAAAAATCCCTTAGTGTACGTTTTCTTGACGTACCCTATTAAAACGCAATCAAAAACGCAAAAAACTGCATCTGAAATAGTATAATAGAAGCCAAGTTCTTCACGGTAAGCCTTAATCCTGCCCCTCTCCCCCACAGGGGGAATATCGAAAAATCCCTTTGTAGTGTATATTCTGTTGACGTACCCTATTAAACGCAATCAAAAATGCAAAAAACCGCATCTAAAATAGTATAAATAGAAGCAGAGTACTTTACGATAAGACTTAATCATGTCCATCTCCCGGGGGAGGGAATTTCGACATGTATATTATATAAAAATACGTGCATATTTGAATGCAGCGTTGTGTCAAAATTTCAAATGAATTGGTAGGAACAAACGAACATTACATTTTTATTTATATAGATAGATAGAATATGATCTGCTTTAGTTCATTTTCACAGAAAAGCATAATGCCTCACAGAAAAGCAAACTTAGGGCGTCGTATTCGTAGCGCCATCTGTTGACATAAAACCCTTAACCTAGATTATATATTTTAATTTATATGAATGTTTAACGGAATATTATACAGCCTATGTCCACCCTGAGGTAACATTCTAAATATTGGTGAAAGAATTTTTGAAATCGGATGAGTAGTTTCAGAGATTACCTGCTACAAACAAACTTACAAACATTACCTCTTTATAATATTAGTATAGATTTATAATAAAAAAAACAAGAAATAAATTAAAGATGTTTTCCAATAGATTCTGTTATTACTGTTGTCTTGTCAATTTTAATATTAGACCATTACAATTTATTATTAATGATTTATTTCACTTACTCAAATTAGATGATTCATGAGAAACTGAAGAACATTTGACACTAGAAAGGATTAGGAGTCTAATTTTTAATTGAGACTTAATCATTTTTGGGACTAAACATCCCATTATCAGAATCTATACAAAAAATGGAACATAAGTATTGGCAACATATACCTATGGTTTTTTTTCAGTTGTTTGAAAAATTCATCATTATTGAACTCCAAATAATTTAAAATTTTTCAATTGGTTGAAAAAAGAACCATAGGAATGTGTTTCTGACAGTTTTGTTCAATTGTTTGTATGAATTTTGATGATGTGTAATCCTAAAAATAATTAAACCTTGTTTAAAAATTAGACTCTAATTTTTAAACAAGTGTTTCTAGTGTCAAATGTTCCTTAGTTTGATTGGTTTTCAATTTATGAACAATTTATTTGACATTCTTTTTTAACAGTAATGAACAGTAAATTTGAAACAATTTTATATTTATTCCAGTTTTTAATACAAGTCTGTTACATTAGCACTAATTTTAGATTATTCCTATAGTCAAGATTTCTATATTCATTGTTAATTAAATAAAATGTTTCTACAGTAGAATCTCATTTTAACAGATCATGGAACAACAGATTTTTCGGAATAACAGATTTTTTTCACCATGTCCTGCCAAATCAATTTAATTTTACCTCTTTTTAGCTGATTCATAATTTGGAATAGCAGATTTTTTTTCTAGCTCCATTTTTGGTAAACATCGTATTTTTTCAACTTTTAATTAATAATTGAATGTTTCTGGATATTGAATTTAAAAAAATACATTGCACACTGTGCAAACTAAGCGCAGAATTATAAAGAATTGACGCACACCGGAGTAATATACAAATAATCCTTTGAAAAAACCTTTAACTGGCGTGAAGTATGTGTAATTGTTCAAGCTGGGTCCAGCTGTTTTTTGGAACGAAATTTCCAAAAAACAGCTGGTCTTTGTTCTAACAGATCATTACAAATGAAACATAGCTTGAAGAAGGACCCAGGAGGGATCCGAAAATGTTAGCTTGAACAATTGAACATACTTCACACCAGTTAAAGGTTTTTTCGAAGGATTATTTGTAAGCACATAATTGTCATGGTTCTCACTGCTAAAGTTGCAGAAACATGTTAGTGCCCTCCTGTAGCATGTTGAATAGTGGAGGGAAATTACTTCTGTCTTAACACTTCCAGATATGTATGTGTGTGCAACAAAGATAGCCTCACCTTTATTGCAGACACATGTTTGGGAATATCGCACCTTGAAATTGTGATCGCTTAACAGTAACATTTCGTACTGAGGATGCCACCAAAATAAGCCCAATTTAAAAGCAAATCAAGATGCATGATTTTTTTAACATATCATGAAGTGCTAATGATCATATGTATTTAGTCACTTTTTGGCTCATAATGTATACAGTTTCTGTCAGCTTTGTTATGACATAATGTACGATCTTGTAATATACGTGTTTATATAAAATAGAGGATAGAAATCTCAATAGACTGAATAATTTTCAGTACAGGTGTTTTATGTAGGGGGTTTAAAACCAAAAGTTTTTTTGATTAATGAATATTTTCCTGGGAGTATGAGAAATTCGTTGTTTGCAATATAACGGATTTTCGGAACAATGGATGATTTTCGGCACCCGAGTGATCCATTAAAATGAGATTCTACTGTATATATATTATAATTTTAACATCTTTGCTTTACAAATTAAATTGTTTTTAAATTGAATAATTTTTATAATAATTATTAATCTCATTTAAAATTTATTAAAATGGTAAATTCTTATTTAGCAAAATACGAAATTTCTTACTACCAGCTAGTTTTTCAATAGGTTTACATTTAACACTTTTTAAATAGAATTTAAATTTTATTAAAAAATAATAAAATTTCATTCTATAAGATTTCTTTTGGCGTTACATAACTAATAATTGGAGTAGGGAATTCAGTGAGCATTTTGGGCTGGATCAAATATTTAACTTGCTAATGGCAAATGAACTGCCGAATTATCAGATTATAACATGGCTGAATAATTAATTAAATACTGAATAATTGAATTGTTTAGTATTTAATTAATTATGTAGCCATGTTATAATCCGATAATTTGGCAATTTGTTTGGCTTTAACTATAAATTGGGTTTTTGAGTTGATGTTCATATATTTAACTTAATAATTATTCAATATATATAATTATTATTTACTTTATAGATTTATATTAAATTTGTTATGCTTTTAATTAAATTAACTAAATTGTCAAAGAGAAATGACTAAATATTTTTTTATTTATACATACCAACATTCATAAGAGATTGCTTTGATCTTACTATTATAAAAATTTATCAGCTTCAACTACAGATTTAAGCTGATTGCCTGATTTGTGTACCTTAGTAAAGGTAAACAGTCTGGGAGTGATTGATGTTTTCACAATTGCTTTCCTTAAAAATTAAGCTTATTCCGAATTCTAATTATATTAAGTTTTTCAACCATTTGATGGTTGAAAAGGCTCATATCAATTTCAATTTTAAATTTAAAAATTAATGTTAAAATTTTAAATTGTAATTCTGATAAATAAAATATATAAGGAAAAATATATATATCAAAAAAAGCAATATTTTTAACTGAAAGGTTTGTGTTGAATCCTTTAAAAGTAAATCTTTAAAATTTCATGTCTTCCTATTATACAGTTTTCATATTTATGAAGACTATATTACAGCAAGACAAAATTTTTGTCTATATACATAAACAAAAATGAATATAATTATATAAGAAATTATTTCATAAGAATTTATTTAGATAGATTATAAAATTTTTTATTGATTTGAATTATAGAGAATGAAAACAAATAACCTGAATATAAGTAAGAAATATAATTTTTGATAACTTTTTTGGCAATAAACCTACTATTAGAAAGAAAATAACATTTAAAATCAAATTTTTAGTAATGGAAAATTAATGTTATAAAGTTATGCACTAATGCAAATTCTCAAATATTTTAGTTGCACTTTATTTTAGATAATAGCAATGCACTCTTAAAGATTTAATTATTACATGCTAAAAATTCAGAATCAATAATATAAAGACTTACGTTGTTTAATCTTCAACTTGAATACAGAATAAGGTACAGCATAGTTTTTTTTATACTAAAATAATAATGTAAGGTAAATCGTAATTATATTTAAATGCTAACTTGTTTATTATGATTAATAATTGTTTCATAATTTTGATAATAGAGATTAACAGATTATTACATAACACAAAAAAGAGAGTTTTAAACTTTCTTTATGTTAAAAGAAGAAAATATTTTTGTTATGTTTTTATTTTATAGTTATGTAATTAATTTATTCTTATTATTGTCATTGAATTTTTATAATGTCAGTTTGGTATGTTTATCTTAATAATATTAACTGTTAATCTGTTGTTTAATATATTTATATATTGTAATTAGTTGATGATAAATTTGTCATTTGCTTTAGTATTAATTATAAATTAATGCATTTTTAGTCAGGTGTTTCGTGAAGAACTTGAACGAATAATAGATTGTCAATTAAGTGAAGGTTATGTTCCAGCAAATTTAAGTGCACTTCAACAAGTAACGGAATTATTGCTTCCTCATAATGCTCGTAGCGGTACTTCATTTCGTTCTGGTAGATGTGTGATTCCCATCAATGATATTCGAGGAGTAGATGGACTTAAATATGCAAAAGGAGAAAAGTTATTGAGATGCAAATTAGCTGGAGTATATAGGCTTATTGACCTATATGGTTGGTCAGAAAGCATGTTTAACCATATAACGGTAAATAGAATATTCTGTATTTTTTTTTAACATAAAATAGATATTTAGCATTTAATAATTAATTATTATGAAAGTATGATTTTAAAATGCTTAATTTTATACTGTTAATAAACTTGTTATAATTAATTTAAATTTTGGTAATAATTTACTATACAATGTGAATTACAGTATAATACGTAATACAGTATAACTTTACTTTATCAACTTTAAATATTAAAATATTTAATAATCATATAATCATTAATTAAAATATTTTAATTGATCCATTATAAAAGTATCAAATGGCATCATTTAAAATATTATTGTTGATATTAAGTGATTTCAATGATGCCATTTAAGATAATGTCAGTTGAAGTTATAAATCCAGACCACACAGCAGGGTGTATGATATAATACTCAACTTACTTGAACCTTTAACCGTTGTGTAATACAGTTTACAATTAGAAATCAAACGTTTTCTTAACTCCTTCTGGGTTCTTCCTCAGGAAAAAATGAGCTGGATCTTCTAAAATGAATATGAACACAGATTTTTGACCTTTATCAAATGATGTAAATTTCGAATTTTAGAAGATCCTCGAATTTTAGAAGATCCTCGAATTTTAGAAGATCCAGCTCGTTTTTCCTGAGGAAGAACCCGGAAGGGGTTAAGAAAACGTTTGATTTCTAATTGTGAATCGTATTACACAGCGGTTAAAGGTTTAAGTAAGTTGAGTATTGTATTATAGTTGAAGTTATTTTATATCAGAAGACATCCTTTGAAATTTTATCAAATATATCATTTAAACATGAATGGTTTAATGAATATTTGGACTTTGAAATGACTGTATCCAATTTTTTAATAAGAGCTGATATCATTTGAAAAATGATTTCAATTGATTTTAAGCAATTTCAAATGATTTTTTGTACGATAAAGCTGATATGTTGGCTATTTATAACGGTTTTTTAAATGTAATTAATAAAATTTGAAGTCTAATTAATATATTATCTGATACTATACTATTTATTTACTATTAAATTTATGTATTAGTATATTACACTTATCGTTAATTATTTTAATTTTAATTTTATGTTTATAACGGTTTCTTTGTTTGTCAAACTCTCGATAGTGCTGCCAGTTTTCGTACGTTTTTATATTCACGTAAATTCTTTCACATAAATTAGACTCATTATAATATATAATTAATTTATTTAATTAATCGATTGATATTAATAATATATAAATTGCAGATTTATAGCAATATTATAATTATTTTTTTAATTTTAGTTGTACAATATTCATTTATATATTTTATTTAATATGTTTTAATTTCAGAGTATTATTAAATTGGAATTTTCATTTTATAATAGAAAGTTTTAAAATTATAACGGTTAGGGAAATTTTTTTTGTCCTTTTAAAAGAAAGGGATTTAAACGTTACTTGTTA